ATAAGACATACCATTCTTGTGGTCGAGATCTGGGCTCAACATTGGGTTTGACGGCATCGAAGAGTCTCTTTCGGTGATACATGAGTTTCAGTGTCTTCTCCTGCCATAACTTGAATGAACGACAGATCAGCACTTCTTGTGGTCGGAAGTGATGGCTCGGAGACAACAGTTGTCTTAATTGTGTCGACTGTCGGGCAAAACGTGAGATCAAAACAATTGAATTCATAATTGAAGACAAAAAGCAGTCAAAGAAACGACAATTTTATGATTGAATGTGTTTTTCATTTGTTTATGTTTTTGAAGAGAAAACACATGTTTTGCTCACAAATGCCATCAAAAACATTGCATTCAATCATTCAATGCATTCAATTATGAATAAGTTTCGCCACTTTTTCCATCAAAAGTTTACTCTTCATTATCATCTGATTTAACAGTAAAATTAATGTCACTCTCATCTGATCCCAAACCACACACACCACGCAATTCAATAGCCATCGACACGAAGAAAATCCGTTTCAATCGTCACAACGATTTGGTTATTATCGACGAAACAGTTTTCGCAGATTTAGGTATTTATTGGTCTTTTTTGTCGAAGAAATCCTTCAATTAATTTGCCTTTTGTTTGAAATTTTGTCTCAAAGTCGCCGGAAATGACACGAATCCGAGCGAAGAGCTGATCGACGAGTTGTGTCTCAAACTCAAGTGCAAACGACTGGCCGTCAAGAACCGCATCTCTTCGGATGACTTCCGCACACCTAATGTCCGACTCGTTAGAGGACACGACTTATGGGTCACTCATAAAGACAACGGAATTGTGTATAAAATTAATGATTGTTTAGTTAACGAAGAAATCTATGTCTAATGATTGATATGATTTACAGCTATAGTCTGGATGTGAGTAAATGTATGTTCAGTTTTGGTAATATCAACGAGAAGTTACGGGTCTCGCGACTCGACTGCACCGGTGAGACAGTCGTGGATCTGTTCGCAGGGATCGGTTACTTTACGCTCGTGTTTGCCGTTCACTGTCGCCCAGAACTGATCCATTCGTGTGAATGGAATCCAAACGCCGTCGAAGCCCTCCGAAGAAACCTCGAACTCAATCGAGTGTCCCATAAATGTGTCGTCCATTTCGGCGACAATAGACTCCTGTGTCCGGTCGGTGTCGCCGATCGGGTCTATATGGGACTCATACCGACCTCATTGGACAGCCTTCGGGTGGCCTGTCGTGCGCTGAACATAAAGAGCTCAAAACTTATTTTACATATTCATGAAAATGTTTCACACTTTGGCTCTAAAGACAAAACCGACAAAACTCAGGTGTGGAGGGATTGGGCGCTGGATTTGTGCTTAAAAGTCAATGAAATCATGTTATCATTACATCCGAGCATCAAATGGTCGATTGAAATACTGGACATCAATAAAGTGAAGTCCTATGCGCCACATATCGATCATTTAGTCGCTGATATAAAGTGCAATCAAATTAATAGATAATGTAATTTGTTTTCTATGATTACTTCCTATAACTGTATTATTTATGTTTTAATAAATAAGTTATTTAATGCCTAAATTGAAAGTCGACTCTAAAAGTGAATGCGAAAAATAAAACAAAGTTTTTTGTTATTGTAATGAATGATGCGATGATTGGTCCGAGAGATCACTGTCTGAGCGCTGTCTCCAAATTAATCGATAAATTTATTGTTGATATGTATATAATATATCGCATTATTCTGTGTCTGCATAAAAGTCATACACAAAAATTTGTTTTTTATATTTTTAACACTAGTTTAGATAATATTTTAGATAAATTTTCTAAATATTTATTGTATTTATGATACAAATGAAGAATATATTATTACTATTAATGGGTTGGGAATGATTGGTAGCGTTGGCGCAAACAAATGGGCAGTTGTATTGGCCGATGCGTTTGCGAAGCGGGCAAATGCTTTTGCTGTGATTGTGTCATATTTGGCACCAATTTAAGGGATACCATCACTAGAAGACACAGACGTACAAAGCCTTCGCAGACATTCTCGTTGAGACGACAGAGTTCTTCGGCGACCATTGAATTCGAGAATCTTATGTTTGAATTCAATCTTCCCGTAAGTTATTGTTCACTCAATTCGTATGGCTTTGCGTTCAAACTCTTAAAACCAATTGTTTTGTAATTTCCTTTCAAATTAAACGATGAAAATGATGACAATATGTGCAGGAATCGTCCAATTCTATGATCCAAATGCAACCAACGAGGTATTCAATCAATTTTATTTGTTTCATAATTATATTACATTTAGTCGATTCTGCAAAACATATACCATATTTATAGCGATTTAGAGTTCGTTTACATTTCATTGAAAGCCTTCAATCAATAAGCTTTTAGTATTACATTTGAATATAAATTACTGACAAATGTTATACAAAATTAGTGACAATTCATGTTTGGTTCCAATAAATAACTGTGAAGTCAGACAAAACCCATACTCTTTTTCCACTCACACACACATAAACCTCAACCTTCACTATAATAGACAGTCTATCGACAAGAATGCAGTTAATTCGGTTGCCTTTATGTTAATGTCTGCCAAAATAATCATTTCAAAAGTCGAGGTTTAGACTCTTTTTGGACCAAATTATGGGATAAACTATTTTTACGAAAAGGAATATTCATATAATTTTAAGTTTTTCTTCTATAAAATGTATTTTTTTTCATGTAATGAATTCTTTCCAACTTTTTCTTATGTTAATTAAAGTGTCAGTTCTTGGCTCACATTGAAAGACGACTCCAAACAAAAAGTAAGACAAACATTGGATTAAGAATAAAGGGTTTA